ATGGTGAAGGGTCTGGAAACCATGAATCCCTATGAGGAACAACTTTGGGAACTGGGTATGTTTAGCCATGAGAAGAGACAGTTAAGAGGTAATATGATAGCCCTGTTTAAATATTTGAAGGGATGTCAATTTGAAGAGGGGGATAGCTTGTATTCTCCAAAGATAAGGACCAGGAGCAATGGATGTACGCTCGAGGAAAAGAGATTCCACCCAAACATTAGGAGGAACTTCCAGGCAGTGAGAGCTGTTTGACAGTGGAACACTCTCCCTTAGGAAGTCATGGAGTCTCCTTCCTTGGACGTCTTTAAACAGAGGCTGGATGGCCATCTTTCAGGTATGCTTTGATTTTGAGTTCCTGCATGGCAGGGGGGGTTGGACTGGATGGCCCTTGTAGTCTTTTCCAACTCTATGATTCTATGATTCTATGAAGTGAGCTCTCCCCTGCAATCACTCTCACGTAGGGTTGCCATAATTCTCTTCCATAAAACTGGGACAAAATGTAGGGGGAAATGTAGGACAACATGTAGGATATTTAAGAAAAATGGAGGATACTGCCAACTAAAAATGTTTTAAGGGGGGGTGATTGGTTTTTCTTTTTTGGGATATGTTATACGAGTTTTATTGTAAGCTGCTTGGATTGTTTGTCAATAAGCAAGATATAAATATATTATTATTATTATTATTATTATTATTATTATTATTATTATTATTATCTTAATAGATTAAAAAGATGGGCCAAAGTTAACAAAATGAATTTCAACACAGAGAAATGTAAGGTACTGCACTTAGGGCAGAGAAATGAAATGCACAGATATAAAATGGGGGACACCTGGCTTAATGAGACTAAGTGTGAAAAGGATCTAGGAGTCCTAGTAGACCACAAGTTGAACATGAGTCAACAGTGTGATGCTGCATTATTAAATATTTAATAATAATAATAATAATAATAATAATAATAAACCAAAAACATTACTAGAATAATATAACATTAAATATAAATATAATATAAACCTTGGAGCTGGATCTCCTTGGGGCTGGGATCTCCTGGATTCTCCTGGGGTTCATCCAGCTGGCATCCACAGTAGGAAGGCCTTGCCACCCTGGACCTTTTTGTGGTTTGGCCGCCTGGCCAAGGCCCTGGACAGTTGCGGTGGGAAGACCTCACCGCCCCTGATCTCCTTATGGCTTGGCTGGCTGACTGAGGTCCTGTGGAGCCATGCCAGGGAGGCTTTGCCCCCTGGATGTCTTTGGGGTTTGCTTGACCGGCCGGCCAGCCAAGGCCCCATGCAACTGTGTCAGGGTCAGGGAGGTCTTGCCACCCTGGCTTGCTGGCCAGGGCATGATCCTAAAACAGAGCAAGACATCCCAAAGAGCCTGAAAAACCAGGATCACCCTGGGGAAAAAACAGGATATGGCAACCCTACTCTCACAGGGAAAAAACTCCATTAAGACGCTTAATATGTTTGGGTGTACATCCCATTTGCTGAAGGCTCAAGGAATGGGATGGTGTGATGTGGTGTGATAATGGAAGAACAACTCCTGGGAACAGCTGGGAGTCTTGGCTGTTCTACTGGTGGTTGCTGGGATCACATCCTTCATCCTCAGTAAGTGCATGTGAATGTGTTTTCTGGGCCACATGTCTTGTTCTTGGGTACATTCTCCTAGAAACTGCTGATGGCAAAGACCACCTTACCTCCAGTGGTACTCTAGATAATCTCCCCATCTAGAACATCTTAAACATGAACTCATTGAGAGCCAGTGTGGTACAGTGGTTTGAGTGCTGAATTACAACTGTGGAGACCAGGGTTCGAATCCCTGCTCAACCATGGAACCCCCCTGGGTGACCTTGGGCAAGTTACAACCTCTCAACCTCAGAGGGCAGCAAAAGCTACCCCCCCCCCCCGAACAAATCTTGCCAAGATAACCCCATTGCCCTAAGTCAGAAATGACTTGAAGGCACAAGCTGACCACAAATTGTCCTTGGAATGCCACCTTTAATTTACCCACATAGAACAACGAATCCACAGGGTCACCACAGGGTCCATTATTCTCTCCCACCTCATGTGTTTTAGATGCTGGTTTAGCTGTCATAAAATCATAGAATCATAGAGTAGGAAGAGACCACAAGGGCCATCCAGTCCAACCCTTGCCATGCAGGAACTCACACAACAAGCACCCCCTACAGATGGCCATCCAGCCTCTGTTTAAAGACCTCCAAAGAAGGAGACTCCACTACTCTCCAAGGGAGATGTTCCACTGTCAAACAGCCTTTACTGTCAGGAGATTCCTCCTAATGTTGAGGTGGAATTTCTTTTCCTGTATATTGCATCCATTGTTCTGGATCCTGAACAAAAAATGAAATGCATAGATGGGGGACACCTGGCTTAATGAGACTTATACGTGTGAAAGGGATCTAGGACTCCTAGTAGACTACAAGTTGAACATGAGTCAACAATGTGATGTGGCAGCCAAAAAGGCCAATGTGATTTTAGGCTGCATCAATAGAAGTGAAGTATCTAGATCAAGGGAAGTAATAGTGTCACTGTATTCTGCTTTGGTCAGACCTTACCTGGAATACAATGTCCAGTTCTGGGCACCACAATTAAAAAAAGATGTTGAAAATCTGGAGCGTGTCCAGAGAAGGAAGACTAAAATGGTGAAGGGTCTGGAAACCATGCCCTATGAGGAAGAACTAAGGAACTGGGTATGTTTAGCATGGAAAAGAGATGGTTAAGAGGGGATATGATAGCCCTGTTTAAATATTTGAAGGAATGTCATATTGAGGAGAGAGCAAACTTGTTTTCTACTGCTCCAGAGAACAGGACCTGGAGCTACAGGAAAAGAGATTCTAGCTCAACATTAGGAGGAACTTCCTGACAGTAAGAACTGTTTGACAGTGGAAGACACTCCTTCGGAGGAGGATGGCATCTCCTTCTTTGGAGGTCTTTAAACAGATGCTGGATGGCCATCTGTCAGGGATACTTTGATTTTGAGTTCCTGCATGGCAGAAGGGGGTTGGACTGGATAGCCCTTGGGGTCTCTTCCAATGCTATGATTTTATGATTCTATTACATTACTGCTTCATGGCATTGTGTCTGCCTCACTCTGTGTCTTTTGGGAAATCAGCTGAGAAGAAAGAAGAGACCTTTTCCTCTTTGGTCTCCAGGAGGCACAACTGGATCATCATAATTGTCTCTTTGCTCAGCCAGAGAGAGAAACCTGTCTGTTAAACATTACATGAGAGAGAACTACACTCCTGTTGAGAGAAAGATGATTGAGAAAGAATGGCGTCCAGCAAACAAATTTTGTAAGAACAGATGGAATTAAACTCTAGGTAGAGCAATAGGATGACAGGGAAATAAGATGAACTGGGAGGGGAAGAAAAATCCCTTGCATCACACGAGTATAAAACTTTATGATTACTGTAGATATATGAGTAAAAGAACAAAAGAACAATAAATTCAAATAGATATGGTTGGGAAGAAACATTGAGGAAGTAGTGTTTTATGTTGTTAAGCAAATTCTAATGTACATTACTGGTAAAATATGTATATCTTTGAAGAAAAAATAAAGAACATATAAAAAAGAAAGATTCAATGAACAATTTAAGGATTTCTGTTCACTCTTTCCTTTATTTTATATGAACTCTTATACTTTTATATTGATCCTGATTTCTTTTGTGGGTGGTCAAAAACTGGTTGGTATTAAACAAAAGAACAGTTTCTTTTGTGGATGGTCAAAAACTTGTTAATATTAAACAATTAAAAGGAATTAATAGTAAGCAATCAAAATCTAAAACAAAAGCAGAAAGGAAAATACCCTATTTCCTGTGTCATTTTCCCCCCACATAATTATACTTATATTAGTTACCGTATATTTTCCCTTTTGTATTGCGGGTATTTTTAGCTGTATCTGTTTTAATTTTTGTAAGCCACCTTGATCCACCATGAAGGTAGATGATGATGATGATGATGATCTTAAAGACTAATTAATTTGTTTCAATGCAAAAGAATCGATCAAAAGAACCGCCAAAGAACTAGTGTCAGGAAACAGTGGGTTTTTTTGCGTTTACCTCACTTCGTCGTGATTGCAACTGAGCTCAATAGGATCGGGATTGGTTTCAAGTGAGAACAGTCATATAACCCAATCTGCAATTCACTTTAAATCATAGTGGGAACGAAGCCTATGATTCTATGAAAACCCCAAAAGTAAAAAGAAGCAGTTTCTGACTACTTTCCATTTGGGTTAACCCCATTTTAACAGCAATGTGTATGAAAATCTGCCCGCTTTTGCGGGTTTCCCCCACCTTTTAAATCCTGTTTCTGCACAGGATTTCCCCCGTGTGATAAACTCCTATGAGAACAATAGTACCCTCCTGCTCTGTTCCCCAGCAGCAGTTATTCAGAGGTAGACAAGAGTTTCCATGTCTAATGAATGATACAAATAAGAATAGTAGAGGAGTCCTCCTAGATCAGACCAAAATATTCTCTAGTCCAGCATTCTGTTCTCACAGTGACCAACCACTGACTCAATGGAAAGCCCACAATACGAATGTAACAGTATTTGACTCGCCAGCCCCTCTAAAATGAAGATATGTGAGAAGTCTTTGGGTTTTCCCTTCAGAAATGTATTATTTTTTACAGTCTCTGAGATAGCTTTACAGTAATTTGATAAGGTAGGATGGGGCATTTGTGTATATACATTGTGGTGCTTATTCATCTACAACACCTATAGTCCTATTTCCAAGGAGCAGGTACAGGATTATGGCTTTTTATCCTTACAACATCTCTTTTTTATTTTTTTTATTTTTATTGATTAGAAAAAGAAAGAAATAATTCACAATTACATATACATAAACACATACACATAAACCTTGTCTATCAAGTCTCACTAAACAGCCCGCAATCGTCTTACTTCTCATATATCTAAAGAAAATTTAAGTTGTCGTCATGTCATTTCCATGCACAAAATCATTATAATCATTCTATATATCAACTTCATTATGTCTAAACTTTAACCTAACAACAATCGTGAAGTTCCTTATTTATTCCAAACCAATCTAATACTGCGTTCCCCATTCAGATCTCCAATGATTAAACATCGGATTCCAATTTCTCTTACAATTTCCTAAGTCTTTTTTCCTTGCCATATCTGTGAGTCTATCCATCTCCATAAAATCATAGATCTTTAGGTACCAGTCCTTAATAGTGGGAATTTCTTCTGATTTCCATTTTGCTGCATAATTTATCCTGGCCGCAATAATTAGATCGATCAGTTTTCCAAATTCTTTTTCTAAATTCTCATCTGTATTTATACCCAATAAAAACATTTTTGGATCAAAATGTAATTGCGTATTTAATATCCTTACAACATCTCTATGGAGTTGGCTAGGGAGGGCCCAATGGCACTCCATAACCTGCATGGCTAAAGATGGGAGGACATGAACTCTCCATCTCAGTCTTGCCTGATGAAGAAGAAGCCCATGGAGCTTCAAAAGCGTGCAACAAGTGTATTGTGCATTTTGGTTGGCCAATAAAGGTATCACTGATGGATTTTTGTTTGAATCTCCATCCCTGAGACCACTGCTTCTCAAAGGAGTGGTTCAGAGACCAGTATTGCTCCCCAAGCCATTGGCTGCCAGTCCATGGTGAGTTTCCAGCAATTTTTTCTCCCAGGTGTGCCAGGGACTGGAACAACTTTTTTAAAAATTGAATTTGTACCCCACTTTTCTTCCAAAATGGGAGATTTGTGGCCATATATCTGTTCAGCTGTTTCTTTCCTGGAAGTTCACCATGGACTAGTACTAGTCCAGAGACCAGCTCACTGAGTAGCACTATACTAGTAGCACTGCCTTTCTCCATGTTGGGAAAAGGCAAGGTAAAAATAACATTAAAATAAATAGAACTTACCTTTGGGTCTCTTTTTGCTCTTTGGTCTGATCACTAAAGCTCAACAAGAGCATGGTTGAAAAAAACTTGCTGAGCCCATTTCCTTTAACATTTAATGTGGTCTTGGGGTTTTTGAACTTTCCTGGGGCAATTAAAGTGTTTGAAGACCTTCTGGCCTCAGTGAACATAAGATGAAGTCCCAAGGAAATTAGATGTATTTCTTATTTTGCTTTTGCTACTTGATCTTGCCACTTCTTGCAAAACTTTTGACTTAAACTTGAGGTTCTCGAAGAAGCTGCTCCTGCTTCTTAAATTCTTTCTTCCATTTAAAATCTGTTTCACTAACTTCTTGACCTATTTTCTTTATTCTCTTCCTTCTCTCTTTCTTTCGATTAACTTGAGAAGCAACCCCTGGAAGCCAACATTGTTGTGCAAGATAAAGCGTGTACTTCCTGTGTCTAAATGTAAGATTCATTAATACTGTTGTACAGATATGACAGTCAAGATTCCAGTATAAGGAAACATACAGCTCTGTGTCCAAAAAGAAACTTCCTTCTATTTTGGGCAGATTCAAGGCATGTGATGTATAATATGAAGACTATCCTTCTATATAATAATAATAATAATATGATTTATTTATATACCGCCCCTCTGG